TTCATAGCAAAAAGAATTTCAGGCAGTGTGTAAAACTCAAGAAAAGAGAGGTGGTTACACATGAAAGCAGCCAAATAGGGTAAAGAGTGTTCTGAAGAGTACCCTATCTCTACTCTCATCATGCCTCAAGAATAAGAATGGTAAGTTTAATACAAACTTCTCCAAAGTAAATGGATACAAAGCAGTTAGTGAGAAAATACTTAGAGGTAAGCAAGAAAGAGTAAGCACAGCATTTGATCTGGAAAAGAAAAGTCAAATTATACTACATGTAATTTGAAAAGTATATACTTCTAGTAAACACTTTTCACATTATGCTTAAGGTATTTTTAAAAAATTTACTTTCCTAAATATATTTTCCAGAAAGCACCAAATTAACAATTATTATTAATATCTTCAACTATTTTCTGCAGCAATTACAGAATACCAAAGACTGGGTAATTTGTACAGAATTTGTTGTTGTTGTTGTTCAGGAGGCTGGGAAAGCCAGGATCAAAGGGCCCCATGGAGTGAGGGCTTTCTTGATACATCATAATATGGTGGAAGGCAACACAAAGTTAAGAGAGACTGTATGAGGGAAAAAAGTAAGCAAGAGAGCAAAAGGGGGTCAGAATTCACCAGAATTTAATCACTAACCTATTCTCATAATAATGGCATTAATCCATTCATGAGAGTGAAGTCTACATGTGCCGCAGTCTGGCTGGGCACAAAATAACCGAGGGGCCACGAGGCACTTGTAGGTTCAAACAGGAACTACTTTATTGCCCGAACTCTCACCTGCAGGCACTTCATGCGCACTCCTGGAGAACTCTCCCAGCCCTCCACGAGGCTCCCAGGAACTCATAGGGAACTCTGTGAGCAGGTGCCTGAGGCAGCAGGAGCCACCCTATTGCCAGACAGCAGGGGTCTATATACAACTGAATACACAGCCTGTTTCAATCCAGCATCATCCAGTCACAGCAATTATACACAGGTTAACTTAATTATCGTCTTAATGTCTCGCTGGCACACCTCTCAACCACTCCTTCTGGTAAAATGCCAGGCGCCATCCCGACTGGCTGTGGCTCTCAACACACATGATCTAAATACCTGACATTAGACCCACCTCTTAATAATCTTACAATGGCAATTAAGTGAGTTGAGGGGATCATTCAAACAACAGCAACCAAGTATAATGACTGATAAAAGATCAATGTAATATTGATTGGCATTTGTAAAAAAATTTTTAGTTGTAGATGGACATATCTTTTTWAAAAAAATTTTTTTTTAGTTGTTGATGGACACAATACCATTATTTTATTTATTCAGTTTTCCAAGTGGTGCTGAGAATCGAACCCAGTGCCTCACACATGCTAAGGCAAAAGCGCTCCACCACTGAGCCACAACCCAGCCCTATCTTTCCTTTACTTATTTTCACATGGTGCTGAGGATAGAGCCCAGTGCCTCACATATGCTACACAAATGCTCTACCACTGAGCTACAACCCCAACCCCTGGTCAAGCACTTTTAAAAGATAATGCAAACTCCCTTGAAAAAGAAGTAAGTTACACTCACTTCTTGTTCGTAAAACTGTAGTGATTTGTACACTTTTTTTTTTTAAGTCAAATTAGTCCTTTAATCTTTCAAAGTGAAGATTCATGACCAACGAACTAAAACCTTATTTAGGATTTTAACAGGAAGAAAGTATTTGTAAAACTTCCCAAAAAAAGGGGAAAGGGAAAGGAAGAATCTTGTTAAAAAAGAAATATAAGCTTTGTATTAAAAAAGAAGAAGAAAGAAGAAAGAAGACGACGACGACAATGAAGACTAATTTAGGAGGTTCAGGAAAAATGTAAGTTGACAGATACCAAGGGTCTTCATTAAAATCTCATTATAGGTTTCTGTGAACTGCAGTTTACATTTCTTTTCTTTTTTTTTTTTCTTTAAAGAGAGAGAGAGAATTTTTTAATATTTATTTATTTTTTTAGTCTTCGGCGGACACAACATCTTTGTATGTGGTGCTGAGAATCGAACCCGGGTGGCCACGCATGCCAGGCGAGCGAGCTACGGCTTGAGCCACATCCCCAGCCCTGCAGTTTACACTTCTAAAATAAAAATTACCACAAGTATTCTAATTTATTTTAGTGGTTCTATTCTCCTTTTAGCTTTAAATTTCATTATGACATCTCTGGATATAAAACCTTGGAGATGCCATAATGACATTTAACTCCATTGTTTTTTTATAGTTAATCAATTATTGTGTTTTAATACTTCTTCCTGGGGCTGGAGTTGTGGCTCATCGGTAGAGCACTCGCCTTGCACGTGGAAGTCCCTGGATTCGATCCTCAGCACCACATAAAATAAACAAATAAATTTAAATAAAGTTATTAAAAAATACTTCTTCCTTTAAAATGTTTATATTTCAAATGAAAAGATACATTATCACTTGTACTCATGCTCTGGAAATTCATCATTCATACTTATCTATAAGCACATGCAAGCAGAGGCTGACCATACAAACAATCAAAATGGGGTTCCTCAACCTCAGCACCAACATTTGGAGTAACCATTTCTCATGGAGGGGCTGTCCTATTGTAAGATGTTTATCAATCTTGCCAAATTGCCAATAGCATCCTCTCCCCCACACTGTGCCAAATGTCCCCTGGAGGGGAAAAATGCACCAGTTGAGAACCACTGACAAAGTTTTAAAACTTTCAAAATCACACCTTGCTCTTTGCTTACATACATATATTTCAAATGTGTGTCTTGTACAACACTTCTTAGTCTTGCCTCACACAATCTTACTCAACAATAACTTTCCAAATAGACCATACTTACTGTTCCCAAGGAAAAAAAATTTTTTCATTCCCAATTCCAAATCTCTGAATACTTTGCTTCCTAAAATCCCCCATCTACCTTTCTCTTCAATGCCCTACATAAATCCTTCAATTGTTGGCTCTTGGCTGAGCTTTACTCAGTTCAGTTCAGCATATAGCCAATGTACTAATGAATAGTATCACGTTCTTTTTGTTGTTGTTGTTTCTGTTAATCTCATCTCCCAAACTAGACTAACCTCCCTCAAGTTTGTTGCCTGGARCATTTCTTTTATACAATTAATTGGGTTTAACACTGTGCTGGGCACAGAAGCAATCAAAAGTTTAGTAATTAAAAATAAAATTTAAAAAGTTCTGCTGTAAATAAGTATAAACTACTAATTTTTTTTTTTCAAGTATTGGGAGTTGAACCCAGCTGGTCTCTCCTATTGAGCCACACCCCTCAAGTCTGTCTATTTTATTTTGAGACAGGGTCTTGATAAATTATTGAGGCTGGCCTCAAATTTGCAGTTATCTTGCACAGTCTCCCAAGCTGCTGGGATTGCAGGCCTGTTATGCCACGCCCAGCAAACTGTTGATTTCCTATGAAGTGATTGTTCTTTTTTTATTTTCCCCTCCATGGGGTTGAGAATTAAATCCAGAGTCTTGGGCATGCTAAGCAAGCACACTGAGCTACACCTCAGGCCCACTAAATTGCCCAGGCTGGCCTCAAACTTGTAATTCTCCTGCCTCAGCCTCTGAAGTATCTGGGATTAGACGTTTGCACCCTGGGGTCCAGCATATACAGGCTTCTAACTGTTCTCTACACTTGAGAAATGATACAAAGATATTAAAACTATAAGCAACAATACACACATGAATATTGATCAAATCATTTAAGTTACATTGATTTAATCAATGTTTTGTTTGCACACAAAACATGTACAGTCAACACCAGAAAAGAACTCAACTAAATATTATATGAATTAATTTATGTGTACACAAAGGCACACTCTCACAAATGTCTCCAAAGTTGACATAAATGAAGAGTCACATATAAAGGAGGCAGCATAGCAGCACAGTTAAAAGCCTGGATCCAGTCTGCTTGGGTTCCAGCTGCATTCTCTGTGTAACCCTGTACATGTTACTTGACTTCTTGATGCCTCAGTTTCCTCATTGTCAAAATGGGGATAATATCACTAACAGACCAAAAGCAAAGTTCTTAAAACAACGCTTAGCACATAGAAAATGCAAAATAAATATTACTTATTATTTCGCTGCCAATTATTAGCCAAGTAAAATCCTCAATGTATAAAGTGCTGATTCAGTCTGAAGTAGGTTTAACACATACACATGCGCTCACACACAYATATCCCAGGATGCTTATTTTATGCATAAGTTTAAGCTATTAGGTAAACTAATTCCTCAGATTTTCACAAGTACTAAATTGGTGATTAACACAGAATTAATTTATCTCCCATTTTTTCCGAATCTGCRCACACACACACATACACACACACAAAGGCATAGATACCTGCCACAGTCTGGCTGTGGCTCTCAACAGATACCCTATTTCCAATGAACTTTATGAAAGAAAACGGATCAACTTTTCTTTATCTTCATAGGTAAACTCATTTAATAGGTAAAGTCTAGGTACTGTTACAGAAGTATTTTTCAGAAAATACAATGGAGGTTTTAAAAGTTGCAATTAGCAGTTCTTTTGCAGTTATGTTCCATGAACAAAAGCTCATCCGTCTGGGAACCAAAGACACATCAGAAAATAAGGAAATGCCTTGGCCAGGCCTAGGCGGCTCTCGGAAAACCTGTCCACAAACAGCACTCCTCACACGCGTGTCCGGTCCTCCCCGCTCCCCGGGGTATAGATGTCGACTCCACCCGAAGATAAATAAGTGACAGCAGGTTCCGTCCCAGGCTCTCCCCGACCAGACCCCTCGGGCCTAGCCCGGAGCGTCTCAGAGCCGGCGGCCCCAGCCTCCTCCACCTCCAGCAGGCCCACAGTGCTCCACAGCGAGTCAGCGGCCGCACCCCGGCCCGCGCCCCGCCCCGCGACCCTGCAGCCCGTCGGGCCCGGCCGAGCGAGGCCGCTGCGGGGCCTGCAGGTGGGCCCGGGCAGCTCCAGGCCAGCGGGAGAGGCGCTGCCCACTCAGGCAGCGGCGGGCGGGGTCCCTCACCGGCTTGGCCGTCACTTACCGGCGCCTCATGGTACCGCAGCGCCTCACCCCAGCGCCGGCGCTGGCAAACTGCCGCGGGACAGCCTAAAGCGTCCCTCTATTGCAGGGCCGGGCCCCACTCAGAGCCATTCAAACGCCGCCGCGCGCRCAGCCCGCCGGGATAGCGCCCCCAGTGGGCAGTGCAGCTCCGCCCAACGCTAGCTCCGCCCATCTCCGTCTCGGCCTCTCTCCCATAGCGGAGGAAGGGGGAGGGGGAGGGCGTGTGTWCGCGATGCCCCCTGGTGGCCACAGGTATGCACCGAAGTCTTGCTGTGGCTTGACAAGTAATACTGCGATGGGGACTGAGGGTGTCAACAAATGATCCTGCTGGCTAGGGACAGTCCAGTGGGAGAGGACTTGACTCACAATCTGCTAAAGAAAGATTAAATAATTTGCTGTAAAAATATGGTGCAGGGATGAGGCTGCGGTTGTGGCTCAGTGGTAGAGGGCTTGCCTAGCATGCGTGAGGCATTAGGTTTGATTCTCAGTGCTACATATAAATATAATAAAGGCCCATCAACAACTAAAAAAAAAAAATTAAAAATATGGTGCAAGGAGAGATATAGTCATTCACTCCTATTTAAATGCACTGGGGAGGTATTTAAAAGCACTGGACTCTGAGCCAGGCGTAGAGGAGCACACCCACAATCCCAGTGACTGGGGAAGTTGAAACAGAGGGTCACAAATTCGAGGCCACCCTCAGCAAATTAGTGAGATATCATTTAAAAATAATTTTTTTAAAAAAGGGGTTGGGGATGTAGTTCAGTAATAAAGCGCCCCCTAGGTTCAGTTCCCAGTGCCACAGAATGAAATGCATGGATGGATGGATGAATTGCCCAGGCTCTGGAACTATGTGCTCTTTGGCAAGTCACAAAATGGAAGTGATAACATATCTGCCTCTTAGTGTGGTTGTGTTAAATGAATTACCTTATATAAAATGTTTATAGAAGTATTTGGCACACAGTAAGCACTACATAACTGTTAACAATCACGCTTTAGTTCCCAGACTCTGCTAGACTTCTTTATTTTTGTGGCATACGGGATTGTACCCAGGGCCTTGTTCATGCAAGGCAAGCACTCTACGAACTGAACTATATCCCTGGCTCTTTTCTAGACTCTTGAGAATATAAAAAATGCATGTGATGCAGAACCTATCCTCAGAAAGCAGGTTCTGGGCTGGGAATACGAGAATATGAGATTAGGATTGGTTCTGTCCCTGATATACTCTTAATTAATGAGGGTAATTCTCTTCATCTTACAGAAGCCAGAGTTTACTCAGCTTCATAGTAAGCCCGTGGTCAAGGTTAATCAAAGTGTGACAAAAACAAGTCTGCCAAGTAGTCCTCTCCCTGCCAACAGAACCCAACGAAGCAGGACATTTAAAGGAACTCTTCCTTACTACCTGATTGTGTACATCCTTTGGCTTACGTTTTTTTTTTTTTTTTTTTTTTTTGGTGGGGGTGTTTGAGGGGGTAACCAGGATTGAACTCAGGGACACTTGACCACTGAGCCATATGCCCAACCCTTTTTTGTGTTTCACTTAGAGGGTGTCACTGAGTTGCTTAGTGCCTTGCTTTTGCTGAGGCTGGCTTTGAACTCTTGATCCTCCTGCCTCAGCCTCCTGAACCATTGGGATTACAGGCATGCGCCACTGCACCTGGCTTTTGGCTCACTTCTTTAGGCACTCTTTAGAATTCTCCAGGACTTGCCTAAGGAAAAAGTGGGGAGTTTGGTTCAACAATATTTTGAGGGCCCTCTATGTGCCAGACATATCTCCAGGTGCTAGAGATAGTCAGAAGCAAATCACAATGGCTTAGAGAAATAGGGAGAGAGATCATTCCAATACACTACAGTGAGTGCAATAATAAAAGGTATATAYCCTGAATGCTGTGAGAGTTGAGAGCAATGGATGGAGGTAGCCTGTCAGATAAAATATTCAGAGTTAAGATATCATTAAGTGATTATAACAGTGTATTTTTCTTCCCTAGTAACAGGGTCCTTATTTAATCCAAAAAATTGTAATAATGAAAATTTAATGCAGCACTTTAGGGCAGTGGGAACATATTTTTAGAATATTTGCATGAGCAATAGCTTTGAGAACATCTCAGATTGTACCAAGCACAGGCAGGTACATGCCTGTGTGTAGGGCCACACCTACTAACAGTTCCAGCTGGGTGAGTGAGTGAAGGGAGCTAGAGCCCGGAGTTATGAGGGCGTATTACAAAGAATATTTCCTGAGTGTGACTTCTACTAAGTAGGTGTGTTATTTTAAATAAAATTAAACACATGAAGTCACTTTCTCTCAAGCTCTTTCTTCATCATCGTAAACAGGAATTTCTTGATGGCCTATTATGCAAAAAACATCATTGCTGGACCTTTACCAGAAGAGAATGAAAAGAGTGCAAGACATGATTTTTAACTTAAGGATGTGGTAAGACAAGTAACGGAGTCCTATGACTCTAGAAAAACTGCTGTGTTAATACAGAAAAAAGCTCAGCTAAAACAAGGTTTCTGGTTGTCTAAAGGCTAGAAAAGAACTTCAATATTCTCATTTCCAAACTTGTTAGAACAGAGTCTCAAGCAGATTCTTTTCCAGACCCAAGTTCTAATATTTGCTTCATAAGCCACCAGCTCCCAGATCTCATAATTTAGCATAATCTACATTTGTATTGCTACTTTTGAAATATACACAAACATTGCCATTTTAGTGATGAAAACATATTAATACTTTTCCTATCAATAAAGCTGAAATATTTTCCCTTAGGGCTCAATGGAGTTTAAGTTTTTATTTAAAAATCAGTAAGTGCAGCCCATACATATTTTTTTTTTAAATTTCTGTATAAGTGCTTGTATTCAAAAAGTTCGTTCATCACAGGCCTTCCAAAGGAGTCTTCTCATTCCTTCTGAGTGAATAGGCTAGTAAGTTAGCATTCCTGCCTCTCATCCTGCTAAGGGAGTGCAGAATTATCCAGGCACTATGTATAGGTATCCAAGACCCATAAACACCCACCAAGAAAAGAACTCTAATGCAAAGTCCTATGTAGTGATGAGAAAAGGTACAGTAAAGGAGGATTTGAGATGGGCCTGACAAGCTAGACAGGATTTTGATAGGGGAAGTATAAAATAAGTTCCAAGACCACTGTGGTGTGCAAAGAGCCTTAGAGACTACCAGGTGCAAAGAATGAAAATGTATGTAGGCATCTGGCAAGTTGTATGAAGACCTGGAATTATTAAGGAACAATATTTGGAGGCAGCGAGGACACAACAGGGACCATTAGCAGGGGAGTGACAAAGTCAGTACTTTAAAAAATTGATCTGTCATCAGGAAGGATTCAGGAAAACTAGGGTAAGGTAGGGAAGGAAGATTGGTGGCAAGAACCTTAGGTATGAAAGTTCAGACTGGAGGTTCAGGGAACCATATAGTATGTGCTGCATTAATGTCACTCTCATACCCTCAGACCCATGCTGGGCCTGATAGATGACGATGCTAGAAGAGGTCTAACTCACAGCAATAGTTCATCTGTTCCATAAGTAACAACATCTACTGCTCACCACCAGTACCTTTGGAAAATTCCAGACAACTGACTTTGGCAAAATCAATCCCCACCTTCCTGTGCAGGCTGTGGAAAAAAGTAATGGCACTTTCAGATAAAGAAGTAGCAGTGGATATGAGCACATCTCACTYCTGGTTTACGGGATCTGCAATTGTTTTTAAACACAACCATAATACTATGCCCTGCTTGGGGGAAGCAGTAGTTTTGTTTGGGATTTTTTTGGGGGTCAGGGTGGAGAATGATAGTGGAAATGGGGTGTTTAGTGTTTGAGGATTCTATCAGAAAGAGTTTGTTTCTGATAAATCTACAGCTGTTATACCTCTACAACTGGGAAGGTGAGCCAAAAACACTTGGTTAACCCTTGGAAGTATAAATAAGTACATGTTAGAGGGCCCATTTGAGCCTATCAACATTTTAAACTCTATAACCTCTGTGGTAAGCAATTCTAATTGTATTACTGTCACACAAAACTTTGTTGACAAGTACTCAAGGATGTTCATAGTGATATATTTTTTTAACAGTGAAAAATTGGAACAACCTAAGTGCCCATAAATTGGGGACTGATTAAATTATCATATACTATACTATGTATCACTGCAGAAAAAGAATGAGTTAGATCTGCATGAGGTCGGTGTGGTGCACGCCTGTACTCCCAGTAGCTCAAGAGGCTGAGGTAGGAGGATTGCGAGTTCAAAGCCAGGCTCAGCAAAAGCAGGGCAGTAAGCAATTCAGTGACACCCTGTCTTTAAATAAAATACAAAATAGGGCTGGGGATGTGGCTCAGTGGCCGAACGCCCGTGAGTTTAATCCCTGGTACCCCCCACAAAAAAAGTCTCATGACACGGAAGATATCCAAAAAGAGAGTAAGTTAATGGACAATATTTAGTGTATTCCTGTCTATGCAATGAGAAGATTAAACACACTACTTTCCTGTACATGTGTAAAGGGGTGACTTTGTCTTTTAAGTACTAAAAAGTACCTATTGTTCTCCTCCAACTCTTTTGAATCACACTTCATCTTTGTATTAATCTGCTTGAGCTGCCATAGCAAAATACTGAGTGGCTTAAACAACCAAACCTTATTTTCTCACAGTTCTGGAGGCTGGGAGGTTTGGATCAAACTAAGTTTTAAATCAAACCTAGTTTGGGCTTCCCTAGTTAGGGCTCTCTTCATATCTTGCAGATGTTTGCTTTCTCACTTGTGCTCACATATGGGGTTTCGGTGAGGTGGGTGGGGCAGAAAGTTCTTTGATGTCTCTTATAAGGGCACTAATGCTATCATGAGGACTCTAGATTTCACCCAAACCTATTTACTTCCCAGAGGTCCCATCTCTCTAAACACCATCACACCAGGGATTAAGTTTTCAACATAAGAGCTCTGGGGGTACACAAACATTGAGTCCATAAGAATCCTTCAAAGTCTAAGGTTATTAAGCAATGCTTTATATGTGAACTGATACCCAGGRAATTTTTTTCCCAAAGGATCTAGATTGCTCAGATGCTTGATTTAGAGACGGTTTAGCCCACTTTCAAGATA